GCAGTGTGTGCACGAGCCTTCGCGGAACCGTTGAAAATTCGGTTTGCTCCTGCCTGGTGCAGGTACAAAGAAGATGGATGTACCTTGACGGGATTTTCACCGAGTCTATCGACATTCGTCTGCAACTGCCTGAGGAGGCAAAGAAGTTCGATGTTATAAATCGGCGGTTTTTATCCATTATGAAACAGACAAACGAGAACCCAAATGTTCTATCTGCATTTTGTCTTGAGAACCGTCTTGGGGAGATGAAAAGCCTTGCAGCAGAGCTCGACAGCTGCCAGCGTTCCCTATCTGACTATCTGGATGCCAAGAGAATCATGTATCCGAGGTAAGCGAGCAACCATAACATACCGTGTGAAAGAGAGTTTTGAAGGTCCTTCGGGATGCCATCGCGGAGCTTTCATATTTTGGGCCCGCAGGTTCTACTTCATATCTGATGACGAGCTGCTATCAGTTCTTGGCTCTAGTGGTCATGAGGCCGTCCAGCCTCTGATGCTTAAGCTGTTTGACAACTGCAAGAAGCTTCAAATCGATGGCTCAGGACAGGTGACGGAAGCCAGGCCCTTTTGTCACACCTAGATCTAGTGATCGTCCGCCAATTCTACTGGCTGTTGCGACTCCTCATGAACAGTGTTTCAGATAATTGGAGCGTGCGTTGCTTCAGGTGTCTGGAATGGAATCAGAGGAAGGCGAAACATATCGCTTTTTTGAGCCTGTAGTGACTGAAGGACCGGCTGAGGAGTGGATGACCACAGTTGACGAAGCCATGAAAGTTTCTCTTCACAGAATAACAAAGGAGGGCGTNCTGAGGAGTGGATGACCACAGTTGACGAAGCCATGAAAGTTTCTCTTCACAGAATAACAAAGGAGGGCGTATTCATGTACGGCTGCGTGCCAAGGTGCGCTTAGTTTATTCAGGCCATTTTAATCCCAGAAAATGCCAACCTGGTTGTAGCTGCGCCGTGAAAGGGACTGCATAGTCGATGCCCCTGTTCCAGCTTGTGTACTTTCAGGACGCAATGGATCACCGAACAGCTTGGCATGGTGGCGTGTGTGGGATCTCGTATTTGGTGGACTTGGCGAGTTGAGGACGCATTTGAGAGGATGGAACAAGGGGACAAAAATGCGCTTCGTGATGAAGTGGCAGTCCAGCGCCAGCAGGTAACGAGCCGTGGCTTTCAAAAGCGCTGCAGTAAACATTAACGCATTCTTAACTTAGCTCAAAGCGTTTTATTCTCAAGTAGGCATCATAAAAAAGAGATCTGACTTCTTTATGGGTTCTCGTGAGCAACGTACGCTCAGGTCCACACGTTGATCGAGGTGGTGCGGAAGCCACTAGAATACCGCGCTAGAAAAAAAGTGAACACCCTTATTATATTGGACGTGCATGCACGTGACCTTGTCGAGAGATTCGTCCAGAATGCGGTGTTCAGCGCCAACAGCTTTGAATGGGAGAGTCAATTGCGCTTCTACTGGGACAAAGCGATAGACGACATTGAAATACGGCAATGCACTGGGCAATTCAGGTTAGCAAATGACTGACTGGGGAGGCACTTAGGAGGCAGTGTACTCTACACTGGTTAATGAAACCCTCCCAATGCAACCAGGCCTCTGTGCGCTGCAGATATGGATACGAGTACCAAGGTCTTAATGGCCACCTGGTCATCACTCCTCTAACGGATAGATGCATTATGACTCTCACAACGGCCCTCACATTCTGTTTGGGGGGCGCACCGGCTGGACCAGCTGGAACTGGCAAAACAGAGACCGTAAAGGACTTGGCCAAGTCCTTAGCAATTCGCTGCGTTGTCCAAAACTGTGGTGAAGGGCTAGACTACAAGGCAATGGGGACGATCTTCTCAGGGCTTGTGCAAACTGGTACGGTTCCACAGGAGCATCCGTAGGCAAAAGCTATTTGCCAATAGAACCCGTGCATTTAAGCTCTCCTTAGTCCCTCAACTTTCTCTTGCTCCTTCTGTCACTGGTCTTAGGCTTCTGGGGTTGCTTCGATGAGTTCAACCGCATCAATCCAGAGGTGCTTTCTGTGGTATCCGCTCAAATCAAGGCGATACAGACGAGCCTACAAAATGGCAAAGGTTCCGTAGAACTACTGGGCAAGAGCCTGAAGTTTGTCCCCACAGTGGGAATTTTCGTAACAATGAATCCCGGCTATGCTGGAAGGTGAGCCCTTCGAAATGTTGCAGTTGCTCGCGCTAACGTGGAATAAAATAGTTTTTAAAATTAAAGAAAAGCGGCAATGGGAGCACCGCTCGAAGAAACCGTTACAGGTTTTTTTGAATGCAGGTCTGAGCTCCNAGAAAAGCGGCAATGGGAGCACCGCTCGAAGAAACCGTTACAGGTTTTTTTGAATGCAGGTCTGAGCTCCCCGACAACCTTAAAGCTTTGTTCCGCCCTGCAACCATGACAGTGCCAGATATGGCCATGATATGCGAGATAATGCTGATATCGGAAGGGTTTCAAGAGGCGCGAATACTGGCCAGGAAAATGACGGTTCTCTATAAGTTGGCTTCTGCCCAATTATCGAAACAGGTGAGGTTTATAGTCATTCTCATGCAGTGCGCATTCGACCGAGAGTCGTTTTATGGCTATCCATCTCTTTCTGGTCTACGAGAAAACGTGCGTTCAGTACTTCTACGACTTCCAACTAAGAGCACTCAAGGCCGTTCTCGTCATTGCTGGATCGATGAAGCGCACTGCACCGGACACTCCGGATGATTTACTTCTGATGAGGGCCCTCCGTGACATGAATATACCGAAGCTTGTGAAACCAGATGTGCCCTTATTCCTCGGGCTGTTGAGCGATTTGTTCCCTAATGTGACGTGCGACAGGGTGGCACTTCCTAAGCTGAAAGATGCCGTTGAACAGGTAAGCCAATAGACGGGTTCTTACTTCCGCCTCCTCTCTAAGACCTTTTGAGCCGGAGATGAAAGATAAACCTTATCATTATCGGGACAGGCGTTCCTGACTATTGCACAGNGACCTTTTGAGCCGGAGATGAAAGATAAACCTTATCATTATCGGGACAGGCGTTCCTGACTATTGCACAGATTTTCCGGGAATGGGAACTCACCCTCTTAGTTGGCCAGCGTAATTAAATTAATTGTACCATTCAACCTGCCTTTGCTTGATTCGTGCTCGTCAGGAACTAGAGAGCAAAGGATTGAAGTGCCGATCTAAACGGGAGTTCGACAATCAAGTCGACAAAGTCATACAACTCTACGAGACAATGGAGACCAGGCACTCTACAATGGTTGTCGGAACAACGGGTGGTGGAAAAACAGTTATAATCGACACCCTCGCAGCTGCTCACAAAGCGGCATTTGATGAAATCGTAAAGGTGTTTCCCATCAACCCCAAAGCTCAAGGAACAGATGAGCTCTACGGCGTGCTTGGTAGGGCTAAACATAAGAAAATATATATAACGCCAAAACGCAGAATCATCCTTCCGAACTCGACGCAAACACTTGTGATGATGGGCCNAAAATATATATAACGCCAAAACGCAGAATCATCCTTCCGAACTCGACGCAAACACTTGTGATGATGGGCCTCCTCCTGCCGTGTTTATATATGCAGCATAAGAAGACACTGTGTATCGTGGCATAGAGCGATAAGCAACACCACCAAGACTTCTTGCCTATGTGTGCTTGCGGAAGCATTTAAACTGGGACTTCATGCGATACTGACTGCAGACCCTGTCTCACGCGACTGGACGGACGGCCTCCTCTCCAAGATTTTCCGAGATGCAAATCAACCTCTACCCCCTGGGCGCAAGGAGAAGCGCTTCATTTTGTTTGACGGAGACGTGGACGCAGTCTGGGTCGAGAGTATGAACTCCGTTATGGATGACAATAAACTTCTCACCTTGTCGAATGGCGAACGTATTCGCCTGGAAAAACATTGCGCACTGCTTTTTGAGGTTAGATGTGTAGAACTGCTCAACTTTCCAATTAGGGGAATTCCCTGTGAGCTCGCTGCTCTGAGCCGGTGCAACCACAGAAACTTGACACGCGGTGCCGCAGTNGGGGAATTCCCTGTGAGCTCGCTGCTCTGAGCCGGTGCAACCACAGAAACTTGACACGCGGTGCCGCAGTGCTGTCATGCGTGTACCACACGATGCTTCCCTATCCTCCCTCAGGTATCGGACTTAAGATATGCCTCTCCAGCAACGGTTTCGCGTTGTGGAATGGTTTACGTGGACCAGAGGGACCTCGGCAGCTCACCCTATTACGATGCTTGGGCAAGAAGCAAGTCAAGTGAGCAGCTATTGGAGGTTTTGGACTACTTGTGGGAAAAGTATGTCCCACAGTGCCTGGCTTTTATTCTGAACGAAAAGGGGAGAGACGACGAGGCTCCTTTGCCTGCTAAGTGCATACATCGAACGGATGTCAGCATGGTAAGATTCGCAAGGACAGCTTCAGACCAGTGCACTGGAAAGACTGGTGAGAATGGAGGACGCGCTGTTGGTGGAGCAGTCACAAAATGCTGGCGCGAAGCTTGTTTGACTTTCTGCTCACCAAACAGGTTGCGCAGCTCTGCAAAGTCATGGACATTATGGTGCCAGACGCTCTTTACGCAGAGCCAAACCCAGAAAAGCTAGAAAACGCGTTCCTCTTCGCCTTGGTCTGGTCGCTCGGAGCGACTCTGAAGGGAGAGGAGCAACCGCGACTGGATGTACTTTTGAAGACTCTCTCAGGCAAAGCGTCTATAAGCCAAAGTCTATTTGATAGCTTTTATGACCTGCAGGCAAACTCTTGGCTTTCGTGGGAGTCTAAGGTTAGCGGTCTACGATAAATATTCCTGTCCCTAAGATGCCTTTTTCCCCAGCTGTCGACTATTGCAAAACGTCTGGTCATGCGTATCATTTTTCCCATCCCGTAGTCAAACTGTCCAGCATTGTGTTGGATGTTTTGAGTTGTCATCAGGTTCCCCAGTACAGTCCAGAAGCGGGTATATCTTTTACGAACATTTTTGTCCCGACTACTGACACAGTCCGGGCAATGTGGCTTTTGCAAGGCTTTGCTTCAAAAGCGCTTCCCACCCTTTTTATTGGAGAGTCAGGTCAGTTACGCATACCCAACAGAATCCAATTCTTGTCTGGATAGGCATACGTAGCGTGGAAATGCATGAGATTTGATCAACGCAAAGCATGTTGTACTGAGTTGAGCGAACTAACGAGCTAAGCTGACCGACGAAGTTCAAGATGCTGTGCTTTCTTCGAACTTAAGGTACTGCTAAATCTATGATGACGAAGGGTTGGCTGAATACCCTTGACAACGAGGAATTCCTGCAACTGCAAATGAACTTCAGTAGTAGGACCAGTTCTCTTGATTTTCAAAAGGCCTTGGAAGATAACATTGACAAAAGGATAGGTCGCGTCTATGGGCCCCCTTCTGGAAAAATACTCAAGGTGTTTCTGGATGATCTCAACATGCCGACGGTTAGTAAATACGGGACATTCCATCTGGATTATTCAACAGAGAGTACACTTGTTGTGGTTTTTCAGAGGATTACGCAAACCTCAATGAGCGCGACTGATTGGCCGTCGAACAGCGGTTGCTGGTGTTTGCTTAGGTTGACATTTACGGCACTCAGCAACCTATAGCCCTGCTAAAGTTTGTGATGGAAAGGATGTTCTTCTACGAACGAGGCAAAGATCTTGAGAAGATTATCCTGAAAGATGTCC